TGTGGCTCAGTGGATTGAGTGCCTGCCTCTGAACCAAAGGGTTGCAGTTTTGATTCCCAATCAGGGCACATGCCTAGGCTGCAGCCCAGGTCCCCATTAAGGGGTGTGCTAGAGGCAACCATACATTGTTGTTTCTCCCCCTCTCTTTCATCTTCCCTTTCCCTCGCTCTAAAAATAAATAAATAAAATATATTTTTAAAAAGAACGAAAATACTCATGCCAGTTAACAATGATAGGAATTTCCAAGTTGTTCTGATTCTCAAGCCAGTACTCTTTCTCTAAACTACCTACTGCTCATTACACAAACAGAAATAGAATCTAACCAGGACCACCAACCAGCCACTTGCCATTTTGTCCACCCCTGCCTTCCTGGCAATTGTTGAAAGCTGACCTGCATTGGACCATTTCTCCCATTGAATAAGCTTCAACAATTTGTTCTTCCTCCTGCCCAGCTATGCTAAGTCAGATTCTTTAGAGATTCCAAACCTCACTGATGGTATTTTTGACTTGGTCTTCCTCCCCCTGACAAACCACTTTCATACTTATTTCAACTAAGTCAAGATTGGGTCTGAGGGTAGAATCTCTTGTTGGGGACACTGTTGAATTCCATGGGAAACTCAAGCTAGGCTGTTCTGCCACCATCCCAAAAGGGCTGAAGCAGGAACTGCTCCTCTGTGAGGCAGGAAGTCTTTTCCCCAAAGAATTCAAAATAGCTCACCAACATTCAGTCAAAGCCCAGACATAGATTGGAAGTACAAAGGAAAAGTATTTAACCCAAGCTGGGTAGGAAGAGGGGTCCAAGGAATGTTTCAAACAGAGGAGTCTTGAAGAATGGCTAGCAATTAGTCAGGCAAAGGGTGGGTGGTAAAATAGCATGCCTAAGGGCTTGGAGACAGAGAGAAAGGCAAATTCAGAGAAATACATGTATTCAGGTATGACCACAATGTGTGAGAGTGTGTGTATATGTGTGTGTATGGCTTGAAGCTGGGAGGAAAAGCAGGAGTCAGAAAACAGAGGGCTTTTCTGGCCTCCTGGGCTAGAAAGTTGTAACTTCATCCTGAAAGCAAGTAAGACATACTGAAGTATTTTTAAGCATAACAAAGAGGTGGGGTAGCACTTATGATTTCCATTTTAGAAAGATCCTTGACTAGTGGATGGATAATTGATTACAGAAGCAGAGCAAAAATGGAATTACAGAGACCAATTTGAGGTGCCTATGAGATTTCCAAATGGACAAGAGATAATAGCTGCATCATTTGAACTAAAGTTTAGGCAATGGAAATGGGGAAAAAGTGGATTTATTCAGGTGTATTTTGATAGTAGATATGATAGGACTTCATAAATGACTCTATGTCAAAAAGAAGTGAGGAATCAAGGATGACTGGCTTGGGTTATTGAATGAGTGATGGCCCCATTGAAATACAGAACACTATGTGAAGGTTTGGGGGTACATAGAGAAGAGGGCAGATGATTTCAGCTTTGCAATTATTGAGTTTGAAGTGCCATTAAAACATTCAGTTGGGGTCATTCCATTCCAAGTGCAGATTAACATACAAATCTTGAGTTCAGGAGTGAGATCTGTGCTAGAGGTCTAGACTTAGAAGTCATTGCTATAGAGACACAGTGGAAAGGTCACCCATGGAGAATGTGAAGAATGAAAAATCTAGAAGCCTTGATAAACCTTGGGTGGAATAGTCAGATTTATAAAATGGGCAGAAGAAGAAGAACTTATAAAGGAGAATCATTTTGAGGGGCAGGGAAAACTGGGAGTGTTGTTACAGAAAGCAAGGGAGAAGACGGTTTTATGAAGGAGAGGGACAAGGTGAGATGACAGAGATATGACCACTGGATTTTGGGATAAGAAAATTGTTGGTAATCTTAGTGACAATAATTTTGATGCAGGGCTAATGGCAAAATCAAGACTGCAGAGGGTTGAGAAGTGAGTGAGAGAGGGAAGTAGAGACATCAATATTAACTGGCTTGCTTAAGAATCTTGGCTGCAAAGAGACTGCTCTGGATAAGATAATACCTGCAAAGGGTAAATAGAGAGTGGCTCAAAAAGAGTGAATATTTGAAGTAGTCACCTGGAGATGCTCACCAGAGCGATGCACAAGGACTTCCAGGCAGCACTGAAGGCTCAGTGGGATGCACAGTCAGGATCAGGAATTGTGCCCCATTTAGCAATAAGAAAACCAATGCCTGAAAGGACTTGCACAGGATCATAGCTGGTAAATGACAGAGCTGAGGTTCAAACTAGATTTCCCTTCCCACCTCCTATCAAATGTTCCTTGGACTCTGCTCTGTACTACTGTGCATCAACATTGGCATTGTCATATCCTTCATGGATGAATACCATTAACTATCAACTGTGTGCCCAGTATTTTAGAGGCACAACAAATTTAATACACGGCTTCCTCCCTCAAATTGTTTAGAGTTTGGTTAAAGAGACAAGATATTCAACAAATGTATATGCAACACATAAAATGGTGAAACTTTTTGTTTTTCTCTGTCCCTCTTTTTGTCTGTATCTCTCTCTTTGTCTGTCACCACTCTGGGTGTTCTAAGTCACCTGAGTGAGATACAGAGATGAATAAGATACAGTCCTTGGCTTCAAGTAGCTCACGGAGTAGTAGGGGAGAATATGGATTTCAACAAGAAATTTAAACAATTTCCTCATCTGTATAATAGGGATTTTTGTACCACAAAGTGTTACTGTGATATTGAGTTAAGACTTGTGAAGTACTTATAATTGTCACACAGGAAATGCTACATAAGTGCTTCTATTATGCTTATTGCTATGATGGAGGTAAGTAAACACATGATATTGTAAGAACATGGAAGAGGGACACTTGATCCTGGCTAAAGTAAAAGACATCTCAGCTGAATGCTAAAGCACGAGAAGGCACTGAACAGAAGGAGAAGAATGCCGGGAATGTTGCATGGAAGTAACAGCCTGGGTTCAGGTTTGTAAGCAAAAAACAACATGATCTGATTGAAGAACTGAAAGTAATTTAGTTCAGCCAGAGCATAGAGTAAGAGGAGGAGAATGACAAGAGATGAAGCTTGAGAGGTCATACAATACAAATAAGTTTGAACTTTATTCTTTACATGGTGGGAAGCCACTGGAATGTTTATGTGGAGTATTGTCTTGATTACATTAATGTGTTGAAAGATCACCTTAGCAACAGCATGGAGAATGAATTGGAGGAGGCAAGACTGAAAATAAAACTAGTTAGGAAGTCCAGAGGAGGGAGCATGAAGTCCTGAACTGGAGAAGAAGCAATGGGGATGGAGAGGTAGATCCTTGGGTTTGAGGTATAGTCAAAAGATAGAATTGGTGAAACAGTAACAATACAGAGTGAGGGATAAGTGTGAGAGAGGTGTAAAGAATGACTCCCACAATTTTGGTCCAGCACAAGGAGATGAATAGAGATATCATTCTCTGTCCATGGGGAACCCCAGAAAGAACTATTTGGGGAGGGGTGCAATGGGAGAGATGATGATTTCTCTTTTAAACACATTGAATTTGAGCCTTGGCTGGTGTAGCTCAGGGAACTGAATGCCGGCCTGCCAACCAAAGGATCGCTTGTTCAATTCTCAGTCAGGGTACATGCCTGGGTTGCAGGCCCGGTCCCCAGCAGGGGGCATGCAAGAGGCAACCACACATTGATGTTTCTCTCCCTCTCTTTCTCCTTCCCTTCCCCTCCCTCTAAAAATAGGAAAAAAAATAAAATCTTTTTTTAAAATCTTAAAAAATAAACACATTGAATTTGAGGTGCCTATGAGATTTCCAAATGAACATTTTAAATAGGTAATTTGTGGCAGTCTTGAAGTTTAGGGGGAAAGTTTATGCTGGAAATACAGATTGGGGAGTGCCCGTAAATGGGTGTGAGATTAAGTCATGGGGGTGCGTAAGTGTGCTCGGGGCAAAGTGTTGATTGCGAAAAAGGATGGACGTCTGAAGAAAATTCACATTTGAGAGATGGGTAAGGTAAGAAGAAATTTTGAAGATGGCTAAAATGAAATAGCCAGATTATGGTGAGTTGAAAAGTCAATGGGCAGGAGGGTCTTGCAGAGGATGGGAGGAAGGATATGTCTTTGACCCTTAGTGTCTTGAACCCTGGCAAGAGTAAGGGCTCCTTGAACACTGCAAAATCATGAGCATTTACTTAAATGTTTTCTACTTACAAAAGTCTTCTATTCAGCTTCCCTTTCCTCTGTCTACCCTAACAGGGAATACCAGGGCCCCATCCAGGCCCTAGAATAACCTTTGCTCCAGAGTCTTCTCACAACATCTGAGATGTCAAGGGCTGCTATGGCCATCTATTAGGAGAGCAGATGGGAAATTTCTGAGTGTATTTTATATGCAGGAGGCTTGACATTAGCCTGTGGAAGGGGGTTTGGGCAGGTCCTAGAGGTCCTGAACTCTTAGAGTATAGACAGAAGACCTTGTTGCCTGCCCCAACCTGCCCTGCAGTAGTTTTTCACCATGGGCAGGGACCCAGAGCTAAACCCATGCTTTCTATACCCTTGAATATTCAAGAGGCCTCTAATAACCTGTAGTCCAAGGCTATATCCTAGTACCTGTTCCTCCTGATCAGTCTCGTGGAGTTTGGCCTCAGTCTGCAACTGAGGGGCCCTGTGACACTGTTGCTGGGCAATGTGTTTAACAGAAGGCCTTGGAGATGGAACTGCTCCAGCCAACAGCCTAACCTGGAATTAACATGGCCACCACAACTGCCACTGCCATCACTACCTTCTCAGAAAGCAGCCACATGTCTGGTCCCTGATTTTGTCTGGCTGCCAGTCTAAGTCATGTGCCTATGTGGGAGGTTTTGGCTCCACTTTCAAAGTTTTTGTTTTCCCTTTCTCGTGTGTTATTTTTAAAGATAACAAAGGTCAAAAGGCACCCAGCATTTTCTGGTTTCTCATAACCTTCTGGTCAATATTTAATCTGGTTTATGGATTTTTTAGGTCTTCTAGATGCCTTCTTGAGCCTGCTTGTGGCCACTCACAGACACTTGTAAGGAGGAGAGAAGTCATTGTATCAAAGACACACACTCTGAAATGAGGAAATAGAGGCTGGGATTCAAGGAGCAAGAGCTTCAGCTGGAACACAAGAAAGCAAGCCCTGAAGACAATTCTACTGAGAGGTCTGACATGGCCTCTCTTGGCATCCAACTTATAGGCTATATCCTGGGCCTTCTGGGGCTGTTGGGCACCTTGGTGGCCATGCTGCTTCCCAGCTGGAGAACAAGTTCTTATGTCGGTGCCAGCATTGTGACAGCAGTTGGCTTCTCCAAAGGACTCTGGATGGAGTGTGCCACACACAGCACAGGCATCACCCAGTGTGACATCTACAGCACCCTCCTAGGTCTGCCCCCTGACATCCAGGCTGCGCAGGCCATGATGGTGACATCCAGTGCAATCTCCTCATTGGCTTGCATTATCTCTGTGGTGGGCATGAGATGCACAGTCTTCTGCCAGAATTCCAGAGCCAAGAACAGAGTGGCGATAGTGGGTGGAGTCTTCTTCATCCTTGGAGGTCTCCTGAGTTTCATTCCTGTTGCCTGGAATCTTCATGGGATCCTACGGGAATTCTACTCTCCACTGGTGCCGGACAGTATGAAATTTGAAATTGGGGAGGCTCTTTACCTGGGCATTATTTCCTCCCTGTTCTCCCTGGTAGCTGGAGTCATCCTCTGCTTTTCTTGCTCACCCCAGGGAAATAGCTCCAACTACTTTGATGCCTATCAGGCTCAGCCCCTCACTACTACTAGGAGCTCTCCAAGACCTGGTCAACCACCCAAAGTCAAGAATGAGTTTAACTCCTACAGCCTAACAGGGTATGTGTGAAGAACCAGGGGCCAGAGCTGGGGGTGGTGGTGGCTGGGTCTTTGAAAACTGGTGGACAGCCCTACCAGGGCCACAGGTGAGGGACATTCCTACTGGATCATGTCAGAAGGTGCTGCTGAGGATAGACTGACTTTGGCCATGGGATCAAGAAAAAGCAAAAAATGGGTGCTGGTGTGACAGTGTCCAGGTTGAACTGTCAAGAGGCATGCCAACTAGCCTTTCCATTTCCTTTACTTTGGTCCCCCACCCCAGACTCTGAGTCCCCCAACCCTTAACTCCAAACCCATTCCCCTACTCTAGGCCAGACTCCACAAACTCCCATCTGCCCTTTGCTTTACCTGCCAATGCATCCATAAACTCACTAATTACATTCCACAGGCTGACCCTTTTTGTGATCAAAGATCCTCCCTCTGGCTGAGGTTGACTCTCAGCTCATTGCTGGGAGTTCGCAGAAGGAGGAGCAGTGGCTTTTATGAAGATGGCTCTAACCTCCTTCTCAAGCTTCCCTCCAAAGAAAATGATTAGCCACTAATGGGCCCTGAAGCTTCCATCCTACTCTTGTTGTGATTCCACAGTGTCCAGACTGTTTTGTGTGTGAAGAGAAATAGAGCCATCCCACTGTACTGAGGGAACAGAGAGCAACTGGATGTAGGATGAGAGGGAGGGAAGGTAGCTGAGGACCCAAAAATGCTAGAACCACCACCTAGAGCAATTCTCAGAATTCCCTCACACTTGTGGATTAGGGATCTATCCCACAGGTAGAGGGAAGCACAAGGAAAGAAGATATGGTGGAAAGTTCCAGGTAGCAGCATTCTCTTAGTCCACTGAGGAACTGCCTCAGAAGCTGCAGCTCCAACTTTCACCAAAGTTCTTGCCTCCCTCTGGTGCACTTGACCTGGCCTTCTGCTAAACAACAAGGCTAAGGGCCCTACACAATTGTTTCCTTAGGAATGGGAAACTAGCTTTTCAAGATATGGCCCTTGGCTGGGAGATGACAGTGTGGGAGCTGTGGGGGACTGCAAAAGATATCACTCCTTGATGCTGCTGCTCCAAAAAGAATAAGAAGCTTTGTATCTAAGAAGTTGAGTGGACATGTGAGGTGCTCCAGTAGGTGTTTTTATTGGGCCAGAGAGAGTCAGACCCCCAGAGAGTCTTCGAATAATAGAAAATCAGCCCAAAGCTGAGATTAGACCCCCAGGGGTCTACCACAGAGCACACTACAGAGCCTCTGAAAGACCACAGCACAAGGTGAGCCTCCTGTCACCCTTCATATTCCCCTACATCCTTCACTAGACATTCCAAAGTTGCTAAAAGGCATCCAAGGGCTTCCACATGGAATAATCTAGCCCAAGGTGATTTGGCCATGATCTGAGTGATAGCTGACCAGCTGCCTGGGATTACAGGTGAGGTGGGAAAGTACAGAATGGTCCCCAGCCAGATGGTTCCAGCTCCAAGACCTGAAAATGCTCCATTTCCTCTGGGGTGGGGGTGGGGGTAGAGTCATAATGAACCAAAGACATTTTTTCCTCACCAGTCTAAACATGACCAACTTCTGACAAACTCCAGAACAGCTCCTTGAACCTCAGTGTCAGCAGAAGGGGCCCATTGATTGTCTCTAGTATACCTTACATGTTTTCTACTTCCTTGCCTGTGTTTAAGATGTTCTTCCAAACTGGAAAGCCTTATCCCTTTTGCCAAGTTTCCCTCATGTTTGAACAACTTGCTCAGCACCACCTTCTTCAATGAGCCTCCTATAGCCACTCCATCCCCCTCCTGCTCCTCCTTTGATGTACAAATCACTTCTTTAATGCTTATCATTCACCATTTTGATGCATAGTTATATTTTTATGTGTGAATATCTGATTTTACAAGTACATTGTAAACTTTTGAGGGGCAGGGACCATATCTTAAACCTCTATGTATCCTCAAGACTTACAGATAAAGACATTCTGTAAGGGTGCTTGACATATGGTAGATGATCAATAAACATTTGTTGATTGAATAACTGTTTTTATTTATTTAAAGGGGCCCATACAAGGCAGGTGTGATGGAGAGAATTGGGCTAAGGGGAGGATAGGATGGAAGCTGGTCTTTCTTCCCACTGGGTGAATAGAAAATTCTAGACTTTTCTGAAGATATTAAGAAAGTAAGACCCCCTCCTCCCCAGTGAAACTTTAATCTGTTCATCTTGCTCAAGGCTCCTCCTTACAATAATTGTTTCATTTAAGTTATTCACTAAATTTGCTGTATGTTTATTACTTTAATCCTCTGAATCACTATTGTAAGAAAGGTGAAATAGATCTAATAATTCCCATTTGGCATATGGGAAAACTAAGGCCCATATACTTAATGGGGTTTTCCCAGGGTCATGCAGCTGGTGTTAGTGCACAAGTTTCCTGACTCCCAAAATAGGACTCTGCTGATCCAACAATATTTACAGACAGTTGGAAGAACCTGCCACAGTACCCCAAGCCGCCCAAGGGAAACAATTTATAGCTAGCAAGGTAACACTGGGGACATGTAGGTTCTCCTGGTCTCCTGTGAGGGGCATCTTAGTATACCACATGGTATTGCCCCTCCTGCTATGCTGGCCTGGACCCAACTAACTGTCCCATCAGAAGAGATGTGAAGTTTATATTTGAGTAGGTCACAACACCTCAATTCCAATTTCCCTGACTCTAGAGGTTTGGGATGTTGGGAAGCCAATGATTTGGCCCTGTTCCAAACTCACTTGGAATTAACAAAGCCCAATTCATGAAAATATTTCCTGTGTCAACACTGACCATAATGGGGCCTCACAGGATTTACCTTAACCAGGCTCTGAAACTAGTGGGCCTCAGCACACAGTAGCCTGTAATACAGGCACTACTATCATTGCTCTCCTGAAGCAGGCCTTCTTCATTGCAGAGGCTAGGACCCCAACATCCAAGTCTATTTAGAAGGAATGGCTGCAGGTAGGAAGAAGCATAGAGAGAGGGTGCTCTATGCATGCAAGTTTAATAAGAGGTTGGGTCTCTGGTCTGGCACAAAGAACCTAAGTGCCCTTGATTGGGGCCATTGGAAGTTAGAAGATGGGGTTGCCTTACTGACTCTGCTATGCTTGGGCAGCAGTTCAGTATGGGCTCTGATGCCTCACCACCTGCACCCAAAGCACTTTCAGGTCCATCAATTTTATTGCATGATCCAAATACCCCAATGGAACAGTTTTTTTGTTTGTTTGTTTGTTTGTTTGTTTTTTCCATAGGAAACAAAATCTAAGTCCAGAGAGGTAACTTCCCTAAAGTCACAGAGTGTCAGAGGCTGAACATAAGCTTGGAAACTCCCCTCAGGGCTTGAGATTCTGTTCAGAAGGTATAAGAGCACCTATTGCTCTTCAGGTTCCTACAGCCCTCTGCCTCTGTCTGCTACTAGAATCTAAGGACCTTTGAAGGAAACAGGGCACAGACCTTCCCTTCATCTTAGGAAGAAGCTGACTTGGGAGGCCCTCCTTTCTTTCTTTTTTTTTAAAGATTTATTTATTTTATTTTTAGACAGAGAGACAGGAAGGGAGGAAAAGAGGGAGAGAAACACAAATGTGTGGTTGCCTCTTGTGCGCCCTCTAATGGGGACCTGGCCTGCAACCTAGGCATATGCCCTGACTGGGAATCAAACCAGCGACTCTTTGGTTTGCAGGTTGACACTCAATCCACTGAGTGACACCAGCCAGGATCCCTCTTTTTAAGAATAAGAGTATATTTGTGCTAAACTGATGAGGTATGCCAGGAGCAAGATATCAAGTGCTGTTCCTCTTTCCTTTTTTAAGAAAATTAGTACAAAGCTATTCTGTGTTTTGTTTTGTTTTTCACTTATCATGCCATGAATTCATAAGGAATGGGTTCCAGCAGCTCTGGCTCCCTTCCATTGGTTCTCACAAAGTATGCTTTTCTGGGTGGAGCAGGCTGACTGTTCAGTTGAACCTAGGTACATTTCTCTTTGGCTTCCTTCTTTTTCTGATCATTTTCCCTCACACGTTTCAGGAAGCTATCTCAGCTCTGGCCCTTAACTTGTTTTATTCAGAGCAGTGTCCACTGCATCCTGGTTGACATTGCAGAATCTTACAGTTTTGTCATGGTAACATTGTGGGGCATTCCTTTTTGAAGAGTGCCCATTCCCTTGATGTCTATATGGCCACATTTCTTCTTTTTTTAAATTACTTCATTGTTGTTCAATTACAGTTGTCTGCATTTCCCCCCCATTACTGCCCCCACCCCAGCCAAATCCACCTCCCTCCCTTGCTTTCACCCTTGGTTTTGTCCACGTGTCCTTTATAGTAGTTCCTGAAAACACTTCTCCCCACTGCCGCCTCCTCCCTCCCCTCTGGCTACTGTTAGAATGTTCTTAATTTCAATGTCTCTGGTTATATTTTGCTTGCTTGTTTGTTTTGTTGATTAGAGTCCAATTAAAAGTGAAGTCATATGGCATTTCTCGTTCACAGCCTGGCTTCTTTCACTTAGCATAATGCCCTCCCATTCTATCCATGCTGTCACAAAGGGTAGGAGCTCCTTTCTTTCTGCTGAATAGAATCCCATTGTGTAATAGTACCACAGTTTTTTTTATCTACTCATTTGCTTATGGGCACTTAGGTTGCTTGCAGCACTTGGCTATTGTAAATTGTGCTGCTATGAACATTGGAGTGCATGGGTTCTTTTGGATTGGTGTTTCAGGGCTCTTAGGGTATAATCCTAGCAGTGGAATTGCCGGGTCAAAAGGCAGTTCCATTTTTAGTTTTCTGAGGAAATTCCATACTGTTTTCCACAGTGGCTGCACCAGTCTGCATTCCCACCAACAGTGCACTAGGGTTCCCTTTTCTCCACATCTTCTCCAACACTTGTTTGTTGATTTGTTTATGATGGCTATTCTGACTGGTGTGAAGTAATATCTCATTGTGATTTTCATTTGCATCTCTTTAATGGCTAGTGTTGCTGAGTATCTTTTCATATGTCTCTGGGCCCTCTGTATGTTCTCCTTGGAGAAGTGTCTGTTCAAGTCTGTTGTCCATTTTTTAATTGGGTTTTTTGTCTTCCTGGAGTGGATACTGTGAGTTCTTTCTATATTTTGGAGAGCAAACCCTTGCCTCAGGTATCATTGGTAAATATATTTTCCCATATAGTTGGTTCTCTTTTCATTTTAATGCTGTTTTCTTTAGCCATGTATACTGCTACATTTCTTCTAGATTCATATGTATGTAGCCAAAGGGACAACACCATGTTTTCTCAAAGGCCTAAAAAATATATTGCAGGTGCTTCTCCTGTTACCCTTTGTGTTAGTCATCTTGTTGAATTACTGGAAGATGGTGGTTCTAGCCAAAGAGACGCTTCCTCCATCCTTTTAACCTGGGAGGATTCTATGGAAGGAGTTAGAAATTCATCCTCAACTAGAGAAACAAGTATAGATCCAACAAAGAGCAACTTGTTGAGCAAGAAAAACCTTTGACTGTTTTTCTCTTTGGCTTGTTGAGCAAGAAAAGCCTTGATCTAAATAATTTCTTAGAAATCTCCTTGAGTCTGGGTCCATGTTGAACAGCTTTCAGCTTAACCCCAATGCCTTGCATCATAAAATAATTTAGATTAGCCATAGACCAAGGGGATAGTGAAGGCCATTGTGTTTATGCTTCAGCCTAATGGCTGTGACCCTTGCACAAGGATAGATGTTTCTGCCCTCCTTCATTCCGTTGATAATAGGGTGATTCATGTTTTTTCCTCCTTGGGGCTCTGGTGACCCACGGCTATGTGATCATTAATGAAGAGGTGGAGACTAAAACTGGTTTCTTGGTGGAAAGGTAAGTTTCAACTTTTTGTGAGACCTTTACCCAGCCAGTTAAACATCCATTCAACCGGCTCTCTAGCCAGCCACCCACACCAACTGCAGTTAGTCTGTGTCAGGCAGTGTGTGCTTTGAGGGCTACAGGGGTGAACAAGTGTAGTCTGTGCCTTACAGGAGCTGATAGTTGATCGAGGAAAGATAAGACATGCACACCTAAATGTAGTATAAGGCACATTATAATCTGTCTTGTAAGAAGTGAGAAGTGCTATAAATTGGGGTGTCAGTGGCTAGTTTTAAAAGGTATGTAAGTCGCCTCAAAGCCCAATTCATGAGAAATGAAGCTGAGGCACTATTTGAGCTTCTAAGAGAAGAATGATCAAAAGAAAATGATTTTCCAATTGAAGTACCATAGGAAATAGTGAAATAGGGTAGACAGCTGTGCTAAGGAAGAAACAGGGAGACACTATTCAGCTAATCCAGAACACCTTTGCATTTAACTCACAAAACCCCTAAATCACTCTAATGGAGAGAGTGGCCCTGAGGCTCAGCCTTTTCCCCGCCATTTCCTTTTCTTGGGAAGGTCTATGGAAATTCCTAGAGGCAGCAGAGATAGTGTCCATCCAAGTAAGCTGAGACATTTTGGATCTGGACCAGAAGAGAAACACAGGTGTGAGAAAAGGGACCCAGTGGTAAAGGAAGGCAAATGAGGACTTACAGAGTCAGCAGTTCCCTCCCACTCAGTCCTGGACCATGGAGAGGTGATTTTTTTTGTGCCTTCAGCTGTCCACTCTGGGACATAGAGGTCCCAGGCTTGGAAGTGCCTGTGTTCCTCCTTAGCTGGCTGAAGGCTGGCCTACACCTAGCCTCGTCTCTCTGCCCAGGTGGCTTCTAGCTTCGATGAGAAATTCTGTTATCTAAACAGGGGTGGAGGGGGTAGGGGTGAGGGAGGGATGTGGGTATCTTTAAACAGGAAGTCCAGAAAATTATCACTCTCTTTTGCCTGAAGTGCTGGCTCACTGAGTGCTATGATGTGATCACTGATATAAAATATTAACAGGCCGTTATCAGGCACAGCAATACAGAAGGTGTAATCTGACCTCCACCCTCTACTCACACAACCTGTCACTTTTCTTGGAATTGCAGCTCAGGAATTATTCTTTAACTCTTGACTACCATTCCCTGCTTTGTGCCAAATTGCTC